TATTTTTTTTGCAGTTTGTATGTCTCCTGCATTTCTAGGGCTACAGTAAAAATTAGAACTAACTTGGTAGCTCAAAACAGCAGACACTTTCTGCGTCACAGTTCTGGAGGCTGAAAGTTCTATGTCAAGGTAGGGCAGACTGCTGGTGAAGACAGAAGGAGAGCGTCCTGCCTTGTCCTCCCAGTTTCTGATGTTTTCTATCAATTCTTGGTAGCCTTTGAGTTGCATTATTCCAATTTCCTGTCATTATATGGCATGCTCCTTATGCATTTGAGCCCTTATTTTCCTCTTCCACTAGTTAATGGATTAGGATCTACCCTAACCCAGTATGACCTCATCTTAACTTGATGACATATACAAAGACCCTTTCTCCAAATACTCATAGGGACCAGGAGTTAGGATTTTAGCACAGCTTCTTGGCTTGGTTTGGACACAATTCAACCCATAGAAGTGTTCTCTATTGGAATTCCTCACACAAGCATTTAATATGGCTCCAGTTTCCCTTTCTGGTGCTACCTCTCACTGTCATCCTCAATGCCTTGGTCACAGAGATCTCTTCCTCTGGCAGAATGACGTTCTCATGTTATCTTCCTCCCTTCTTTCTTATCTCCTAGTAACTACATAGCCATTATTGTTTTAATTCCTCCAATACCTGAAAGGTAGTTTGCTTAGAAAAATAAAACACATTTTTTTCTCTATAATCCCATAGTGGTTATGCCTCAGCTATGCACATAACAGGATCACAAGATCAGTGGAAAAAGATAGATACTTTGAAAACAGGAGGCACCCACGTTTTCCACACACAAGAGCAAGTAAAACCTTAGTTTATTCCTCTTTTTGGTGATTTTTTTCCCTGATTCAAACAGGAACAATGTTTGGCATGAAAGCATTGCACAATTGTTAACCTAAACACATAAGGCAATTATTCTGACTTCAGGCTCCAGCTCACTGTGTGATTGGGGAAAGCCAATTGCTGTCTCACAGTTTTGCCAGTTAATAAGAGTAGAACACACATAAAAAAAATCCACAGATGAGCAGTCCCTATGGATAATCACTAATGAATACCATTCAAGTACAAATTCATGATTTGTTTTTACTCTATCCTTCCTTGGATCCAAACTGAAATGAACATTAAAAATTTGGTGATAAAAAGATAAATGTGAAATGTTTTAAGGAAGGATGACCTGAAAAATGAAGGCCTATGTCTGTCAGCTTTGGTCTGCAATCTTGGACTTTAAAAATACAGGTTGTTCTTCAAAGACCTGTTACAGGTTGCATGTGTTTATATGTAAGGTTATAATTAGGTGTGTGAATATATATAGACATGTATTTATTCTTACTTAGTGTTGCACTTACATTTAACTGAATAGCAAACATGTCATGATAGACAGTGAGGTATGTGATTGTCCCTCCCTCTCCCTGCCCTTCTTAGTAGTGATCCACTGTGGGAGATATAGCTGCATTCTTCATAAAGCCAACTAACTGTCCACCAATACTATTGATTCCTTTCTCACCCATAAACATGCATGTGTCTGCCTACATACCACATTACATTTGTTTGTAAATCTCTAACATTATTGTGCTAGTCACTTTTCCATTAGTATAATAAATGCCTGAGGTAATCAACTTATAAAGAGAAAAGGTTCATTTTGACTGATTGGCCCCATTGCTTTCGTCTTGTGGCCAGGCAGCACTTCATGGTGGGATCATGTGATTGAGGAAGCCTGTCCACCCCATGGCTAGGCCCTGAAAGAAAGGAAAGCTGGGTGTTGGGGACCAGGCATGAACCCTGGACTGGGATATAATAGAGTTTGCACAGCCTCTCCATGGTAGAAGTTTACACAGCCTCTTCTACCATATTTTTCCAGTACCTGGTGTCTTGCTTGACCTTTGTTCTCACATCTCCTTGGAGGATACAACCTGCTGTGTCCACATACTAGCCCCCTGTTGGAAAACTAGATAAAGTACCAGAACTGTTAGGAAACTCCCTGATGCCACATTAATCAATACCTTAGATAAGGTGTCCTGCATGCCTTGATGATTCCAGAACTTATGTGTTGTAATTAAGCTTCATTAGCCTTAGGAAAATTAGCCCACCAAACCTCAGTCCTTTTACCTTGCATCAAGAATTGTTAAAGCTTGATTTTTACCCGAGTCTTTTCCTTGTACTGACCTATAAAATAAACACTCTGGCTGAGGTAGGAGCTCAATGTTTCCCACCAGGGATGTGCAGCCCTCCAGATACCACTTTTCTGTTTTATGCTGTATGTCTGTATGTCTGTGTGTGTCTTATTTCTCATTCCCCCTTGCTCTTAGGTTCACGCAGCATACCCATGTGGGCTGGCACAGCTGGGGTCCCAATATTCCCTTCAAGGGCATCCCCATGCCTTAGCACCGTGGCTGGGACCAAGATATTAACACATGAGCTTTTGGGAGGGCTCTGATTGAAACTGTAGTAATATGATGTTGGTAAATAGCTCAGGCCTAGTTTTCTTTTTATAGTAATAACATATAAGTGTTCTTTTTGGCAAAATTCTTTTGGCCCCACATACTAAGTAATTATACCATTCCTGTACCTTATATGCAGCAATTGCTACTATTTTGGTCAGTAATGCTTGTTGTGGGCTTCAGGTATCACTAGGACCCAGAGGTGTCCTTTTAACATTCAGGCCAGGTGCCCAGGTTCAGACTCTCATCATTACTCACATTGATTGTTGGTTGGTTTTCTGGACAGTGCTGTAGTGACACGAGTTAATCTGTCAGTAACCGAGGTGGACGTCCTCAGGTGCTGTCCTTGAATGCATTGTACAGTGACAGGAGCTAATTGCCAATAACCAAGGTAGAGATCCTCAGGCGCTGTCCTTGAATGCACTCACTAGCTGTTTTCAGTTTTTAATTGGAACTTACATTAGATTTCGTGCTCCATGGGCGTGCCCTGCTTGTCCAGAAACTCACCAGCTTTTCAGCTTTGTCTCCAAAGACAATAAGGATGTGGTGCTGTTGCATCCTCGATGCTGCTCTTTTTTGGGGGGCAGTCGTTTTTATTTACTTGTTTGTTTTAGTTTTGAATTGTTATACATTAATAATACAAGGAGGTCTTGTTGTGTTTAGCTCCATACATGTGTACATGCCCTCCATTGTATTTTCACACTTTTTAATATCATAAAAAGGGTATATGGCAGGTACCCATCACTGAGAAACTGAAAGTCTTTGGCAGTGTCGTTATTCTGCAGAATATTTTTAATAGGATAGGGAATTAAGTTCTCTGAAAACTACTGGGTATAGTTAATCGGTCTAGGAGAAGTTTTATTATGCTTTCAGTAGATTATAAGTTTGGACACAAATCTATGTGGAACTACTTTTGTGTGTGTGAGGATCATTGAGATATCTCTGAATTCTGCAGCATTTTGCTTATGTCTTAGTGTACTGTCTTCGCTTTGTCATGTAATGTCTTATTCAGCATTTCTTGACTATTCATCCCTTTCTCCAAAGAGCTTATAATCTATCCAAAGAGACGTAAGTTCCTGAGTAACTATGAAATAAGAAAAAAATTTAAAATTTTTTTCTGAAAATTATACCACCATCTGATTTCTAATCGTATTTCTTTGCCCTTCCCTGGTTTGCTTCTGGCTCTGAGAATAGAGATGAGTAAGACCAGGCCCTTTTCCCTTAAGGATGTCACAGCCTCTGGAGAGAAATAATGACTTACACACAATATGAGAAATTCCATTATATAGGTGTGTGCAGGACACTGTCAACATGAACAGAGAAGGCCAGCAAGCCTGCTTAGCCAGGAAAGGCCCTCATCACAAAGTATGTAAAAGATGCACAGGTAGAAAAAAATGGTACAATTATTTCTCTTTTGTTTTTATTATTGTAAAAATTGTATATTTCAAATGTTCTAAAGAATGTATTACTTACTAATGATAAATGAAAATACTGTTTTAACACTATGTATGAGTTCAGGGAGGCCTGGGAGTTTTACTCTGTGCCTCGGTTTCTTCATCTGTAAAATGCAGATAGCAATGGTGAGTGCCTGTGCCAGGGTTTCTGAGTGGGATCAATTAAGATCACGTACCCAAGTGTGTAGGATAGCACCAGCACAGCATAAACACAGGCAGTGGGGGAGGAGTGGCAGTGTTTGTCATTAGAAGAATCTTTGGGATCTTAGGACATAAATAGGATGTTTGAAAAGTTAAAGACTCTGCAAGTTTCAGGAGTTGTCCAAGACGACCATAAAGGAGACTTCTGAAGGCAGAATGCATTAATTATCTATGAAGTGAGAGAGCTAGCCAACAGATGCTTTAGATATTCAAGTAAGAGAAAGATGCAACAGCAGCTTAAAGTGATATAGGGTAAAGCTTTTACTTTTTAAATGCCCAATTTGAATTATAGTAAAATTCAAATCTGTGTCCAGAGTGCCAGTTTTGACATACTAAGATGCAGAATCATAGGGCTTCAGTCCAAACTACTGATCTAGGACTCTGACTAGATATCATAAAAGAGACCCTTATGTATGTCCCAAAAGCTGCTCTTTATACAGTTTCCACTGACCTATTACAGTGTCGAGATTTCTTTTTTTACCTTTTTTGTTTGTTTGTTTTTTGAGATAGGGTCTTGCAGGCTCCCTGCATAGCCCAGGCTGGTCTTGAACTCACAATCCTCCTGCCTCTACTTTCTGAGTGCCGGGATCCTAGGTGTGACCATGCCCCATGGTTGTTTTATGTGTGCATGTAGTTTAAATTAATTACAGAGAAAATAATTTATGTCTGTATCACTGTGGACATTTCTTCTTGACAGAGTCACATATTTTTTGAAGATATAAATTTCATCCTTTGACTTGATTATTTATGCCTTCCAAATGTAGACATGCTTTTCTCAAATATTACTAACTGCCATTAACTTCAGTGGAAGCCATTAATTTCCAAGTGGATGGGGGTAATTTTGGAGCCTGATGACCAGGAAGGGAAATGACTCAAACCTTTCTGCTCTCCCCGCAGCTGGCCCGCCACAATAAGCTGCTGCAGCAGATTCTTAAACCAGGGTTAGATCCAGACGAAGGTGACGAAGCCTTAAAATATTACGCCAACCACACCGCACAGATTGAGGTAAACAACTACTGTTCCTTGTGAAAAAATGCTTAGTTTTATTCAAAACCAGTTCTGAATTTTTATAGAGTAATGAAGCAGCAGTGAGCTATTTAAACTGAAAAGTTTAATATGTAAGATTAAACCCAAAGATGATCTGTAAGAGTGATCTATAGAAATTGAGGTGCATGTCTTTCCTTCTGTAGACCTGGGTGTAAATTTCCCTTTGAACTTGGTAGCATGATTCTGCTCCTGTTGTTTAGCCATAGCAACAATCATTGCAGAGCAGTAATATTTTAGAGATAGGATAATTATTGTGGAAGACATCATTCAAGAAAAGATTTCTTTTAAAACAAATATGGAATGAGTCGAACACCAGTAACTCACATCTGTATCCCAGCTACTCAGGAGGCAAAGATCAGGAGGATCACAGTTCGAGACCAGCCCAAACAAATAGTTTATGAGACTACCTCAACAGACATGGTCATATCTTAGGAAAATGTTCAGAAGTGTAGAAAACAGACACTAATGAAGTTTCTATACTGCTATCATAAACTTGGAACATTTTAACACTTTTCATTTTCAATATGCAGAGTTGACCTTCTCATCCTCATAAATGAGACATTATTTATGGCCGATGGCATTTCAGGTCAAAATGGGTTTATCATGTGTTGGAAGACCCATGTGGCTGTCATTTACAGCTATGGTATCATTTTGACTCTGGTTGGCAGAACTAATCAGGTAGAAGTGAGCAGAGTAGCTGATGCTTGTCACTCCTGATTTACATTCATATGGTCATTCACTTTGGCAGGTATTTTTTAGTTTTCACAGAATGCATGATGGGTATCATTGCTCTCAGGATGTGCAGTTTCTTCCATCTACCAGTGCCCAGCCTTTGAGCTTTATCACTGAGCACATTGAGCATTATGAGCTCATGTCACATATTTAAACATTAACGGTCCCACAGCTTTGGTGTCAGACTTGACTGAGGAGCTGGGCCAGCAGCTTCTCAGGTGCATAGGTCCAGGAGGTGGCAAAGTCAGGAAGTTGAGAAATTGATGCAAACAGATCATCAAACCATCAAGGTCCTAGAAGCAGAAGTACAAAGCTAGGAGATGGGATGAGTTCTAAGAATCACAGGTGGAATGTGGAAATGGGAGAGGAGTTTGCCCCATACCTGTCAGAGATGGGGACTGCTTTTGAGCTTGTTTTGTTGATGCCAAGCAGTAAAGAAAAATTTAGCTACAAATAAACATATTCTGTTCATGTTTACTGAGCACTCACTCTATATCAATCACACGTACATAGGATAACAAAGTGCCAAGGAAATATAGAAAATAGAAGTTAATTGTTCCTCAGAAATCTCAGGATAGCTGACCTAGAGAAGGTTGCCATTAAGAATATGTTAATGACCGAGGACAAGTTTCTCTTTACTAATGATCAGTGAGGGACTTTAGATGGAAGAAGAAAATGAAGATAACGTGTAAAAGCACATGGGAAGGGGGTGGCTTACCAAATCATCACTGTAGCTGCTGTTTGGAGAAAGGCTTAGAAAGAGAATGAAGACAGTTAGATCAGGAAGCAAAGCTGAGAGATGGTGGTATTGAGGATGATTCGACTGGAGAATACATGCATATATAGGTATATACATAATGTAGACATATACACATATGCAGTTATTTACAGACAAATATATATATATATATATATATATATATATATATATATAATGGACATACAGACTGGAGGTGATGTTGGATTACATATCCTGGCCCTGTTGGTCATCTCTGATCTTATTACAACAAAATACCTGAAATAATAACTTATAAAAAGAGAAGATTTACTTGGGCTGATGATCTGAGAGGTTCCAGTCATGACTGGGCATTCTGCCATGATGTGCTGTCATGAGTGCACCCTCGGGGTAGCACTCATGACAGCACATCATGACAGAAGCCTATGGTGGAGCCAAACCACCATCTCATCAGCCAGGAAGCCAGAGTGGAAGAGAAAAGACAGAAGTCCCTCACTCCCATCAGAGGCTTTATTTCAATGGCCCAAGGACACCCCACTAGGCACCACCTCCCAAAGATCCCACCACCTCCAATAGCCTTTAACACATGGACCTCTGGAAGCCTTCAACATCCAAACTGTAGCTCTCATGGAATGTTAAGAAAGTGGTGGGGAAACAATCCCCCCTGCTCTGTTGGTCTGAGTATGTGGACGAGTTGGTGTCATGTATTGGAATGTTGGGAAAATGGGACTTGGCAGTTAAAATGTAGATTATTCCTTCACTCTTGGATAAACTGAATTTGAGGTGAGTTTGAGACAACCATGAAGGTCAACGAGGAAGTCTAGGTTTCAAGGGAGCGCTCTGAAATGACAATATAAATTTTGTTTTGTTGTCATTGTTTTAAGGCAGGGTCTTGCTGTGTAGCCCAGACTGGCCTTGAACTCATGATCCTCCTACCTCAGTCCCTGAGTGCTGGGATTGTAGGCATGCACCACCATGCCTGCCTTTGATGATACTAGTTTCACACAGGGACCAATTCTCATACTCACCCAAATCTGAGTATGTACGGCCTTCTTCAGAGTACTCTTCTCCCCCTTTTAGTGATCATTAATTTTGTCCCACTCTGTCCATAAAGCAGTTTGGCCCTTGTGTTAGTTTAATGTTGCTCACATTGAAATATTGTCACTTGTCCCCAACTTGACATAGGGACTGATCTTGATTATCTTTGTATCTCTAAAACTGGATGGTGTGTCTGGGAATACAAGTATAGTAATTTATGCTGTTGAAGGTGACAGTTTGTAAAGTACAGACCTGATGACCCAGGGAATCAGGAAGGGTCTTAGGCCTGGTGGTCCATCCAAGGAATCACCCTGCAGTCCTGCTTCTGCTATAAGTTCTTCCTAAGATGGAGCTCTCATGCCTTCAGAAGAAAAGGATTTGTGATTAACTCTAACATTAGAAAGGTTTTCTAAGCAGAGTTCACAGCAGCCCACATTCATTCTACCCACTGTCCAGAACATTTGCTCCCCTCTTAGCATGACAGCTTCATCATTGCACTTCAGGCTCTCGAAGTTTAGGGCTCGTGTTGTCTTTGACTTCCCCAAAGCACCTTACCTGAAGATTGATTGTTGATCGTTATGTGGGAAAATTAGCCATATTTGGCTTTCTGCAAGTGACACTTCCCCCTTCCTTCAGTAATCCCTATCGTTTGTAAAATGTGACAACCAGAGTTAAAAGTAACATTTCATGAAGGGACTCAATAGCTTGGCTTATAGTAATCACAACTCTATTTCTTTAGTGTACCCTGAGATTTTTTAAAAAATATTTGACACTGTTGGATATAGTAAACCTTTTTGTATTTTCATACTGCTGCCTACCATATCAAATATGTCCGACTGTTGCAGGAATTTTTGTTTTCAACTACTAAAGTTCATCTTAGTATGAACTTTATGAGAGTATTCTGATATGGGGCTTGAATATATAGTATATCATTTATTATGAGTTTAACAGGCTGACAAGTATGTAAACAATGAAAGTATTTTATGATCTTAGGATAATTGACTCAGTGATGTCTTCAAGCACACAGGCTCCCCACCTTCCCACCCGGTTCCTCATCATGCTGGTAACATCTCACCTCACCACTGCAAAGTGGTGACCAGAGTTTCAACCTCTGTATTACCTTCTATCCTACACAAGAAGAAATAGGGCATATGTAGAAAAGAACTTTTGCTTTCATATATTTGGGGGTTTTGCTGTTATTATTTCACTTGTCTCAGGAGGCCCTCTACCATGTCAGGATCAATGTCTTCCCTGGACAGTTTGTCTAGCCAACCCACCCCAAGAGATTTCTTTGTATGCCTCATTTTTCAGAACTAGGTCATTACTAATTCCCAATGGCTTGAAATGAACCTGGAAATTTAGGGTACACAAACCCTTATAACATAGTGAAGGCATATGAAAATACTCACCCTGGGTTTGTTTTGCTTTGTTTTGTTAAAAGTTAAATGGTCACAAATTCCAAATAAGAGAGGTTCAAAATAATGAGTATTTGCATATGCACATATGCCTAAGTGGGTGTTGCATCTAAAAGATATATTTTCTGTGTACAGGAGAACATTTCCAGGTATAAAATGCCTCTCCGCAGAAGTCAGGACACAGTTTTGACTGTCACTTGCTGCCCAGCAGCTGTTTCCAGAAGAGCAAGCTAAGAAAGGCATGGGTACCTCCATGCAGGCTTAGTCACTTACCAATTAAGTCTGTCTTAAATCTCTGGTGAACTTCATGAAAATAAAAATGGTTGATAGTTTAATGTCAACCCAGAGAAAATGAAAGACTTAACAATTTTTTTTAATTTAAAACAAAAAATGGTGTTTCTGATTTATTTGTCAATTTAAAGATAAAAATGCAGTGTGGTACGGTATAGAACTAATGTAGGTGCTTCACTGTGACACATTTTTCGCAAGGTATTTCATACATAAACTCATGCTAAAAACAAAAACAGATGGAGTGTACAAAGGGCTAAAACAAATGCAAATTAATGTTTTCAGATTGTCCGGCATGACAGGACTATGGAGCAAATCGTCTTTCCAGTCCCCAACATCTGTGAATTCCTCACTCGAGAGTCCAAGTGCCGTGTGTTCAACACAACGGAGAGGGATGAACAAGGGAGCAAAGTGAATGACTTTTTCCAGCAGACAGAAGATCTCTACAATGAAATGAAGTGGCAAAAGAAGATCAGAAGTAAGTAGGGTAAAACGTCATGGTTAGTTTAGTGCATGATAGGTTACTGCCATGAGACATGGGTGCTAATTCATTTACCTCATTATTCCTGAAATCGCTTGTATGCCTGAGAAGTGTAAGCACGGTCTACAGCTAGACAAGATGCTTGTGGCATAGTGAAAAAAGAAAGCCATGATTAGGTGGCTGTTAGGAAGGATGATCCCATGTCCTAATGCATCCCTTGAGTTCTGTATTTTGCCGGCTGGGCAGCTGCAGGTGTGAGGCTGTGCTGGACTCCACTGGCTGTGACAGTAGTGGATGGGTCAGGGGCATCAGCACCAGCCTGCTTCTCCTCTGCTGTCCTATGATCGAGTAGATTGTTTAGTGCTTTTCTGAGAGTTCTTCTTTCTTTTAACATACTTTTAGGTCTCCAAATCAAAACTGAACATTTCTTGTATTCAGGGGAACTAGTGTTATGATTTTACAGCTAAAAAATTATCGTAATACAGTTCTCACTACTTATAAATCACCAGACTATTTGGAAATACTGAGTTATAAATCTTTTTAATTGAAAATAATTTATTTTCACAGTATGGCATCTGTGATTTTTGATAAATGTTATTGTTTATCAAAAAATAAATCTTAAAATAATTTCCAATGTACAATTATACTTTAAAATTTGGAAACAGACTATCCTGAGGCTATAGGTGAGTCTCATGGTGGGCATACAGTAAGGATCTGTTGTTACAAATGTGTGTATGTATGCATGTAGTTTTGTTTTAATATTCTGTTGTTTAAAATGAGAGCGCCTCTTTGAAAAACAATGGAGTAGTGACATTTATGATTCATGATTCACTCAGGAGTTAGTGAGATGCCATGGATACTCGTAACCTCCTCCAGTGTGCACAGTTCCATTCCAAGAGAAGGAAAACAAATGTACTAAGGAGCAGTGTGGTTTATAAGTAAACAGAAAATCTAGGTTGAGATAACTGAGTATGGGTATATCCAAAAGTAAAGTTAAAGAACAGACAAGATGGAGAGAGGCTGGTGGGTATCCAGGGCAGGCTAATAACATTGGCTACTATTGAAACTTTCATGTTCAGTTATTCAGGAGAAGTAAAGTGACAGATTTTTAGTTAATGTGAACTATATTCAGTAGATACATTTGCTAATCCGTTTCTAATGACAGACACGAAATCTCTTTTTGAAAATGCAGATCCTCTCCTGTTTATTGGTAGTTCTGATCACAGATTTCATTTCCTTCTTCTGCTTTAAACTCAACAGGTTGTTAGGAAGCAATATAATTTAGAATGTGAATACTGTTATAAACCACTACTTCCCAGAACGCCATGCTGTTAAGATGCAGATGTTCAGGCACCTTTGACTATGTCATAGGAATTTTCATTAGAGATGCCTAGGATAGGGGTTTTGGGTTATTTATTTGACTTTAAACATGGGGGAAGGGTCAGAATATCAGTCAATATCACCAAATTGTACAGTGGTAAACTGTGGTGGGGATAGGTAGGAAAGAATATCTGTCCTGCCTTCCTGTAGCAGTTACACAATTATCCCTCTGCAGTAGTTCAGGTGTAAACAGGCTAAGGGGGAAAGCACAAACTCAAACAGAAAACCCCTCATAGTATCAATTATTTTTAATAAGCTTTCTCAAGTCAGTCACAGCCAACACTGACTTAAATCCTCTACAAGTTTACAAAATGCACTTGGTGTGATAGGTGTTGGAATGAAGACTTGTTTCTGTTCTGCCCACCACCCTGCTGCTCCCTAGGCAACCCGGCCCTGTTCTGGTTCTCAAGGCACATCTCACTCTGGGGCAGCGTTTCCTTCAACCTGGCCGTGTTCATCAACCTAGCCGTTGCTCTCTTCTACCCATTTGGGGACGATGGCGATGAAGGCAAGTGCTTGTCTCTCTTCAGATGATAAATATCTAAGTGTTCTGAAAATATTACTCTAAATAAATACCTTAACTACATAGAGAAAATTCAAAACAAGGAAAAGTTAATTCTTCTCAAGAGATTTTTCTGTTTATTGGAAGTACATTATGATAGTAAGTAGAGTAAGCAGACAACTTGGGTTGATAAAAATGTTATTTATAAAAAGCTCATATACAGTGGAGCTATTAGAGCTACATTATAAATTGACAAAGTGGTGAAAATTTTTATTATTTTTCCTAAGTACTCTGGCCAAACATGTTTTTATACCATGTTATCCATCTCAGTTACATAACTGAGAGTCTTATGTCCAAATGATGTGGTTTCTTTAAATAGTGGTGTTTATATTTTAACCTCGTTTCTTTCTGTCTTGTCTTAGGGTTTTGTAATGAGCATTATCTGCCACCTAAATTTTTTTTTATTCTGTAATCATAGAGGATAAAGAATATTGACTAGAAAATTAGTATTATTTAGTAATACTACATGAAGTTTTAAAGAGACAATAATTAGAGGAATTATACCATTTTAAGCAAAATGAGAAATGTAGTAGAAATATGCTGAAGGGTAGGACTTTGGGAAATAAATTGTGTTTGGCACAAGTTTGGCAAAGTACATGGGAAATATACTACGGTGTGGAATACAACCCGGGAAGTGACTGTGGAAGGTGTGTAGAGAGAGTGACTTGAAGAGAAAGATGAGAGGGATCAGAAAATAGTCACCAAATGCTTTTTCAAAATCTCATCTATTCATAGAACGATTGTTAGAATTTAACGAGATGTTATCAGCAGAGCATTTAGAATAGTGTTAGATAAGCATTTGATAAGTTTAGTTGTTGTTGCTATTGCTCTTACAAGATAAATATGCCTTTCCCAAGGAAAAGATGTGATCTGGAGGTAAGCAGGGAAAGAAGTGGGAGTCCAAGAGTGACTGAGCATTTCAAGAATAATTTCTCCAAACTAAACTAAGGCCGTGCATTGATTTTGTTTGTTTGTTGTAAAGTTTTGAGATTTATTCACATATACTGTGAATTAAAGTCTCTATAAAATTCATTTAAAGAATATAGATAATCCTTGGTCAGGAGTGTGGCCCACACCTGTAATCCTAGTTATTCAAGAGGCAGCAATCAGGAGGATTGTCACTCAGGGGCAGACTAGGCAAGCAGTTAGTGAGGTACCTTCTCAATAAATGAATCGTGTGGGGTGGCTCACACCTGTGACCCCAAGCTACAGGGAAAGGCATAGATGGGGGATCATGTCCAGGCTGGCTCCAGGCAAAAAAAACCGGGAGACCCCCATCTAAAACATAGCCTAAAAACAAAAAGGTCTGGAGGCATGGCTCAAGTGGCAGTGTGCTTCTTGAGTTAAAACTTAGTATCACCAAAATTTAAAAAAACACAGGTGATCCTAAGGCTTTCATGTGAATGTGAAGCTCTGCACACCGCTGCTGCACTCAAGGCATTCACATGCAGGAGTAAATTTTGTGAATAACAAAAACCAGTGTGACTCAAGGAGCAAGAGCCACTGTGGAGCATTGTTGTCCCCTCTGCCTGTGTCATTCCACAGACATGAGTTTGGGATCTGGAGCAGATCCAGCAGCCCAAGAACGTCCCCCTGGTTTACTTCTGCAGATGCACACACGACCTCCTGACGGGGGTGCCTTGTTTTGCGTGCACGCAAATCTCTTTGAATTGTACTGTCTTATAAGGAAAGATATTTTTAAACCTCCTTTGTGGGAAACTTTGTAAATCAGTTCATTTTTAAAACATTTGGAACTTTTATTTTCTGACAATTTAATAGCTGAACCTTTCTTAGAGCTTGAGTTGGCCTTCAAGTGTGCATACGACCATATAGATGCATAATGTGTGTTTTAGCAGTTAAGCTTTGTGTCCATTTCATAAACACTTATTCTACAAACTGGATTCTTCAGAGGAATCTATAATGCAGAAATTTGATGCTGATAGAACAAGACAAGGTATGAGTTCTACAAAACTACCTGCTTTCACATGATTTCGCTTTAGCTCTAATGGCCATCCATCATAAATTTTGAATTGAGATTCCCAAATGAGATAATATCTATCGAAAGCACTTAGCAAATCTCTCCCATAAGAGAGAAATTTGAGCAATTCCCAGACTCAATCAAAGGAAGGTTAACTAGTGAGTATTTAAGTAGCCTGAAACTAATCACAAAGTTTCTGGAAATTTAATAACTCGTGTTCAAAGATGTAAGCTGTATAGGTATAGACAGTATAGAATGGGCTTGTTTGAAAGTTGTGCCTTTTAACTTGACTTGCTCTACCACAAAAAGTAGAGCAGGAAACATTTTAGCATTCTCCAGTTCTGTCAGTAAAACCAACTTTTTTCTCACGGCCAGGCACACTCTCTCCAACGTTCTCAGCCCTTCTGTGGATAGCGGTTGTGATCTGCACCTCTATGCTATTCTTCTTCTCCAAGCCTGTGGGTATTCGGCCATTCCTCGTGTCCATAATGCTCAGATCTATATACACCATAGGTCTTGGGCCTACATTAATACTTCTTGGTGCTGCCAATGTAAGTACTTTGCTTAGCTTTGTACTATTGCAGAATTAATTATAAGTGTGTTAAATATAAAAATTAACTATAATTTAATGAATACAAAGTGAATTCTGATATATGTGAATTTAAATTAACCATTGTATCATTTGTACACTTCTTATTTAAGTTAGAGAGGAGGAAGACATGACAGGTAAAGAGCTGATATAGTCAAGAAAATCAATGTGAGTCAATGCCCTGTATAGCTATCCTTATCTCAACGCACAGGAAATCAATGTGAGTCAATGCCCTGTATAGCTATCCTTATTTCAACCAGCAAAAACCCTTGTTCCTTCCTATTATTGCTTATACTCTCTCTACAACAAAATTAGAAATAAGGGCAAAATAGTTTCTGCTGGGTATTGAGGGGGTTGAGAGGGGGAGAGGAAGGGGGCGGAGTGGGTAGTAAGGGAGGGGGTGGGAGCAGGGGGGAGAAATGACCCAAGCCTTGTATGCACATATGAATAATAAAAGAAGAAAAAAAGAAGGCAACATTCGGGTCATGACCCAGTTCTATTGTCAAGTTAATATAATCCACTTTTAATGTCTTCTGTGTCCTATACCCACAGCTATTGACAAAAATGATTCTGAGCCCTGTTAACATCCTAAAATGGCCTCTAAATCACCCAAGAAAGATTAAATTATATTCAATAGAATTTAAGAAGTAAGTAGCTTTGATCAAATGACCTAATAGAAAGGGTTGCCTTGTTTAAAAAAATATATGAAATTGGACACCTTTTATGTGAACAAATCCTATAAACTTACAAAAGGCAGAGCTGACATTAATATTTTTTCACCAAATTTTGAAAGATTAGAATAAGAGTACCCATTCTGAAACTTTAGCTAGGGAAGTTTAGAAAAAGTGAGTTCCAGTAATATTTCAAAAGGCAAATGAGACATTTGTAGAAATAATTTTACCCAGGAAATAAAATGTTAAATGGACTCTATGCCAGCTTTGTGCAAGGCAGAGCCACAGAGGAATATTAAGAAGAGGTAAGTCATGAATTTGATGTAATAACAAACAGTCCAGTAAGCACGTGAGTGTTGTCAATAATACTACTAACTAATCTGAAGCACTCTCTGTACTCTCCGCTGGCCTTTGAACATAATCCAGTAATCTGTGTTCCGGCATCTGAAGCTAGGATTTACCTACTGTTCTTATGGATATTAATTGAGTGTAAAATACCTAGACCATCAGATGTGCTCAATAAATACTTCTTAAGTAATTCAATTAGTGAATGAATGAATGGGTGAAGGAATGACTGTATTAGACAGCTATAGTGCCTTGCACACAAAAGATGAGGCGAACATTTGTTAAAACTGAGTAAATAGTCAACCAAATTTTTGAGAATTATAAAGCTGAGCTAGTACAGCCAATACTATGTTCCCATGTTTCTGACTTCTATTTTATTACAGTTCTTCAAAAAATGGACATGGTATATTTGACAGCTCTCACTTAACTAGAACATTCAAGACACCAAATTATTCATTCTGAATTATTATCAATAATAGGAAGTATATGATATGTATAAAGACATCTATCAATAGAGGATTTTGTAATATACAGAGCATGCTATTATATGGGTTTATTGAGGCTGGAATCGTCACAGTCATATATGTAACCCTCCCCCTTCTCATTCCTACCCATCTCCATTTTTCCCACCTACTTGTCCTATGTGATGTTTGACATGAACTGAACTTGTACTTCCAGTGCTTTGGAATATTACCAAGTATGTCTTGTGACATTACTAAACAAGATAACTAGAGAATCTTGATGAATCTATCTAAAGTTTTTAACCTATGTGCTTGGCTTTTTTTCTTTAAAATCATGTTGAATATCTTCCATATTCTTAAACTGGTAATGAGCCCCATTAAGACATTAATCCAAGTGAGAAAAATCCAAGTTTGATAAGGTAAAATACTAGCTAGCTAGACTTGTGCCAGATACATTCCCTGGGCCTCTGTTATATGATAGACATCAAAAATACCGAGAGGTAGAGGATATGGAGCTCACCATCCAGTTCATGTGTCCAGCTCACTATTCTGCATTTTTTTTATCTTTAGACCAAGAATGTATAAAGCAATAAGGAATGACATTCTGATGTCTGTTGCAGCAAACCAAAAACAGTTTCCCCTCCTGGGACAAGATCATAGGATAACTTCTACTTGGTTTGGTGAGAGTAATTCCACCATAACAAATGGCTGTTCATATGAAAGGCACATTTTACGCTTGAATGCCCAGCAAGTGGAAGGTCCTGAGTTCAATACCCAGTACTGCCAAAAAAAAAAAAATCGTATGTAGGTACATCTCTCGTCACTCTACTTGAGTCTGTTGGCTTTCTAATAGCTGTTAGAGTGTAAAACATGTTTGCACAGCCAAATGGTACATTATGCTGCATAATGTACCAAAATACATTTTTGGGGTATTTTGACCAAAATAACTAATCAGTGTCAGTTTGGGACAAACCCAGTGGAATACTTGTAATTTTGATGTTGTCAGTATTGGTAGAAAAGTTCTTATCTGTATCTTTAACATTATATGGATTAATAAAAATGCTTTAGTGAATAACCATTTAATTTTAAAATAAGCTTATTTTACAATTGTCTTGTTTATCATTACTCAGGAGGCACGAAAAATAAAGAGAACTCAGCCATCTTGTGAACTTTAGGTTTTAATATATTAATTTAATTTACACATAGATGTTTGCATTGTGTAATAGGTAAAAGTGAATGCTAAAATTGTATCATAAACAGGAAAAATAAAAGAAGTCACCTACCTGGCATTGAAGCCTTAATGAGAATCAGTATTCGAGACTTGAGGTAAATCCGTAAACCTCGGATTCCATTCTTCCCGTTAGTGGAAGGGCGGTCTCAGTGCCTGCTCTGTTCTCACGGGGCTGATGATACTGGGGGAGACAATTAGTGTGGAAGATCGAGGAAGATCAATAGTAGTGATAAAGACAGAGCAGTAATGGTTTAGCAATGATCTAACATGGGACTATACAACTGTAACCATCACTGTCATGATAGCAAAGTGTTTTGGTGGGGTTTTTGGTGGTACTGGGGTTTGAACTCAGGGCCTTGTGCTTGCTAGGCAGGTGCAGGACCACTTGAGCCACTCCACCAGCCCTAAGAGCTTCTGTTTTCATTCACAGTGTTACTTGGTTCTGGACTCTGTCTGGCAGATGCAGAAAGTCTGTTTAGAAAAGGAATGGAGTAGGAAGGAAAACTCAACCTGTATGCTGAGCACATAGTACTTACCAATCTTTGTCTTTATTTTATCATCTGTTCATTTCTAAGATTGACATTTCATCTGCATCTCAAGAATTTATCTTGTCTTAGGAGTTACTATTTAAGATGTTTGAAAGATTCTAAATTTTTTCCTCCGTTACACACCACATACTTTATTTTATTATTTTATTATTTTTTTTTAATTATTCATATGTGCATACAATGTTTGGTTCATTTCTCCCCTCTTCCCCCACCCCCTCTCTAACCCCCCCACCCCCTCTCTAACCCCCTAACCCCCTCCCTTTCCCCCCCAACCCCTCACTACCCGGCAGAAACTATTTTGTGCTTATCTCTAATTTTGTTGTAGAGAGAGTATAAGCAATAATAGGAAGGAACAAGGGTTTTTGCTGGTTGAGATAAGGATAGCTATACAAGGAGTTGACTCGCATTGATTTCCTGTGCATGTGTGTTACCTTCTAGGTTAATTCTTCTTGATCTAACCTTTTCTCTAGTTCCTGGTCCCCTTCTCCTATTGGCCTCAGTTGCTTTAAAGTATCTGCTTTAGTTTCTCTGTGTTAAGGGCAACAAATGCTAGCTAGTTTTTTAGGTGTCTTACCTATCCTCATATCTCCCTTGTGTGCTCTCACTTTTATCATGTGCTCAAAGTCCAATCGCCTTGTTGTGTTTGCCCTTGATCTAATGTCCGCATATGAGGGAGAACATACGATTTTTGGTCTTTTGGGCCAGGTTAACCTCACTCAGAATGATGTTCTCCAATTACATCCATTTGCCAGCGGATGATAACATTTCGTTCTTCTTCATGGCTGCATAAAATTCCATTGTATATAAATACCACATTTTCTTAATCCATTCGTCAGTGGTGGGGCATCTTGGCTGTTTCCATAACTTGGCTATTGTGAATAGTGCCGCAATAAGCATGGGTGTGCAGGTGCCTCTGGAGTAACCTGTGTCACAGTCTTTTGGGTATATCTCCAAGAGTGGTATTGCTGGATCATATGGTACATCAATGTTTAGCTTTTTAAGTAGCCTCCAAATTTTTTTCCAAAGTGGTTGTACTAGTTTACATTCTCACCAGCAGTGTAAGAGGGTTCCTTTTTCCCCAGCATCCTCGCCAACACCTGTTGTTAGTGGTGTTGCTAATGATGGTTATTCTAACAGGGGTGAGGTGGAATCTTAGTGTGGTTTTAATTTGCATTTCCTTTATTGCTAGAGATGGTGAGCATTTTTTCATGTGTTTTTTGCCATTTGAATTTCTTCTTTTGAGAAAGTTCTGTTTAGTTCACTTGCCCATTTCTTTATTGGTTCATTAGTTTTGGGAGAATTTAGTTTTTTAAGTTCCCTATATATTCTGGTTATCAGTACTTTGTCTGATGTGTAGCTGGCAAATATTTTCTCCCACTCTGTGGGTGTTGTCTTCAGTTTAGAGACCATTTCTTTTGATGAACAGAAGCTTTTTAGTTTTATGAGGTCCCATTTATCTATGCTATCTCTTAGTTGCTGTGCTGCTGGGATTCCATTGAGAAAGTTCTTGCCTATACCTATTAATTCCAGAGTATTTCCTACTCTTTCCTATATCAACTTTAGAGTTTGGGGTCTGATATTAAGGTCCTTGATCCATTTTGAGTTAATAATGGTTTAGGGTGATATACATGGATCTAGTTTCAGTTTTTTGCAGACTGCTAACCAGTTTTCCCCCCAGTTTTTGTTGAAGAGGCTGCTTTTTCTCC